TTTTCGTTTTGTGAATATTAAAGTATGCATATTTTATATACAAAAAAAAAACATAACATCAATTTTTATTTTGAAAGTATATGTATTTGTCATAAAATATAAATTGTTGACATTTGTTATCTAGCTTAATTGAACATTATTCTTTCTTAATTCTTTCCTCTTTTTTTATTTCTTATTTTTATTTCATTTTGTGGGAAAAAATACATTTATAGAATATTTTAAATGCAAAAAAAAAAAAAAATTGTTTTTGACTTTCATGATTTATCGAACATGTTGAAAATAATTATTCAAAAAAAATATAGCTTTTTAAAAAAATGCATTCGCTGGATTTTATATTAAAAAAACAGATATTGAAAAATCGTTTGATTAATAATGATATGAAAACCATCCATATTTTATGTTTACTTCTGAGTCAAATTTAATATTGAAAGCTACAGAGTTCAATCCTGTGTTAGAAATGACAATTTTGAGGATCTTCATTTATATTTTGTATTTGTAGCCTCCTGCGTAGCCGCTGTGTGTGCATTCCCACACTAGCGTCTGCTCCCACTCGAACAATTCAGTGTTTAAACTCATTGAGCATAGCGACAGGGCAGAGGCAATATTATAACACTTTTATTGACATGTTGTAATTAAATTCTTTTTGGTGTCCTATGTCACCATTAACATTGCCGATTCCAGCCTTTTCTGAACTTTTCCGCCGAGTAGTTAGGATAGGATAGATGTAGGATATTTCATTCAAACGGGATTAATAGGAGCTCTTATGATGAAGGGCCACGAATTTTGAAAGTTTTAACAAGCAAGTATATCTCTAAAATCTGCTAGCTAATTAAAGTCTGAAGGATGACGTAAGAGATGAGTTTCGAAAAGGGAGTTGGTCCAGGTGAAAAATCAAAATAACAAATAGAAATCGTTTTTATATTTTTGACAGGTCTTTGAACGCATGCGCTCTTATACCGGAAGTCCAAGAAATCCTAGTCTCCCTCGCATCCGTTTTTAGTGTCGGTCATGGCGTGACGACCGACACTAAAAACGGATGCGAGGGAGACTAAWGAAATCCTGGTCACAAAAAATGGATTAAGCCAGGGCCCTCCCTCTTCGCTGCAGGCAAGAAGAAACGCAGGCTCTGGGTACGAGATTGGACTTCACTGAAATTTATTTTCCCGAGAAATTCAAACYAATATTTAATTTTTGTCTTTCCACTTCATTCTTGTGACCCATGTTAACGTCTAAAATTTGATTTGATGTTTTCAGACCTCTAACCATCCAAGTAAAATCAAGAATAAGAACCGAAGATGAAACCAGCAGGACGAAAAGCAACATCTTTGTTGTATTCTTGTCGAGCTGTCAGGTTTGTTTTCCTTTACCTGATCATTGGGATCATCCTGACTGGCTCGTCAAACTCGACGGCCACCACAGAAGACGACACAGTCCTCAGAGTATTCAGAGACGGTCACGTGATAATTGGAGGCTTTTCTTCTGTTCATAATTACAGGTTTGTATACATTTTTTTTTCCCCATATATGAAACACGTTCCCTTATATATATTAGCCATTCCGAAATTGAGGGAAAAAACTGGGACAAGTTGGCAAAATAAAAACAATCTTTGAAATATGTCCCCTAAAGTAGTCCCACAATGCACTGCAATGCCAACCCGTCCCAAGTTTTTATTTTTGCAACCACGCAACGGGCTAATACTCAAATCATCTTGGAAATTAATATCAATAATAACATTATTTGCGTCTGAAAAAAAGTTTAGAACGCGAGTACGCGGCAATAGAAAAGTAAAGAAAAAATAAAAAATAATAAATAAAAAAAAATAAAAAAAAACCAGCATAAGCGGTAAAATACCACAAAAATTTGCAAGCAAAACTTTTCCAGTTGTCCACCTACGCCTCGTATTCTCTTGTCTCGCACATCTTTCATGTAACGTGTTCACTCATGCAAAAGCAGGGAGGAAAAAGACTGTGATTTTTATTTACTTCGTAGGTGTCAGAAGTTCAAACCATCGAGTCTTGGAAAATGGGAGGCGATGATCTATGCTATAAAAGAAATCAATAGAGTTAAGTTCCTTCTTCCTAATCTTACTCTGGGTTACGACATACGTGACGTATGTAATAGTGAAGTATATACAGCAAAGCACGCGTATCAGTTTGCTACAGCATCTAACATGAATTGCAAAGCTGTAAGGTGCATATCGAGTAACGAATGTCTTTGCGACGTCAACGATACTTCAGTCATTAAAGAATTTCTAAGTAAAAACTACAGTTCAACTTATCCAGTAATTGCCATCGTCGGAGCACTGCCTTCTCGAGTTGCCATCCCATTGGCTAGTTTCTTGCAGGCTGTCCGAATACCCTATATTGAATCCACAGCAACAAGTGAGGAGTTGAGTTCACCAATGTATGACAGTTTCTTTCGAACTGTTCCATCAGATGTTAATCAGGCCAAGGCAGTCGCTGACATCATAGACCATTTTGGTTGGAGGTAAGGTGGCCATGTTTTTTCCCCACAAATCATAAAAACRAAATTTTCATAAGTTAATTACAAATAAAGCAAACACGAATAAGTTCTTCACCAACAGAGAGGTCTATATTTATAAAAAAATGTCGAGCGGCCTCACCTTAACATTGTGCTTGTCTTTCTTCCACTCACTTACGTGGGAAAGCGTTTAAACCTCTTTATGAAATAGCTGTAATGAAATTTGCCTTCTGCTTGGTTGAGAGCACATGCTTTTCTAGTGCGTCACTTCTATTCAAATAAAAAACAATTTTGTAATTTGTAACTAAATAAAAAGTTGAATAAAAAACGTGCTTGCCGAGCTATGTTCAGTTATAAAACACTTGGAAAACACTACTCTGCTAATGCAGATTTTTTTCTCGTTCCCTTTTAATTATGGGGCAAAATATTCAGACACGGCCAATTTGTGTCTCATTAATTCAACAAATTTCAAATATTATGCCACCTGATTTAACTGGAAAGAGAAAAAATTTGCATTTGCAAAGCAGCGTTTTAGCTGAGACTGGTGCAAATTAACTTTTCGTGGGTTATGATTTTGCGGCAAAACATTTTCCGATGGGTTTTAGTGTGTTATCTAGTTATCTACCACGTTATCACTTAAAAGGTGGTTAAAATTAGTTATGACTACGCCTCGTGAGCATATCAGCAACATTTTGACCAACGCACTATTGACGTCATATCGTGGTAAACTAAAAGGACATACCACTGAAATCTAACGGAAATTTGTTTCGTTCCATTCCTTCGCCAGATACGTAGCAGCAGTGGCACTGGATGATTCCTACGGTCGTCAAGGAGTGTTAGCACTGCAGCGAGAATCCATCCAACGTAAAACCTTTTGTATCGACCTGTTCGGTTATATTCCCTTATTAAACTACAACAACAATCTCAACATGATTGTGTCTTCCCTCATACTACGCAAAACTGTTAAAGTTATAGTTATCTGGAGTTCATCTTTGTATGGAAGAGAAATACTGAAGGCTGCTGTGAAAGAGGGCCTGGAAAACCGTGTCTGGGTTTTCAGTGAAGCGTTTGCATCAAAAAGTCCAGAATTTTTGTCCTCGATTCCCAATATTTCATCTACTGGGATTCATGTAGGAACCATAGTACAAAGTAAAACTCCTAAAAAGTTTCATCAATACCTTATAAATAGAATACTGTGCAACCACTCTGAAGGTCAAGACAATTATTTGAGGGAACAGTTCTGGAAATCTGTGGTTTTAACAAATCTTTCCTCCCAAGGGTCAAACAATGCTTGCAGTAACAGCCTTCTACATGATCAATTACTACAAATAGTTGCTGATGATTACAATATTTATGTCATCGATGCAATYTATAGTGTTGCTTATGCACTTGACCAAATGATCAGATGTAGAAGAGTGAGAGGTTCAGCTTCCATGGAYAAAGATTCATGTCCAGATAACGAAGGCAYGTCAGAACCTGGTAAATTRATTGAATACCTAAAAAGAGTCGAATTCGAAGGCGAGACTGGAAAAGTACAGTTCGATTCAAGAGGCGATCCAGTAGGAGCTATTTATGACATCGTGTATTTTAACACATCTAAAGGAAATGGTRGCGAAATGATCACTAAGAATGTCATTGGATCTTGGAACAAAAACAGAAAGAGACCCTTAAAGATGACTAACACATTGACATTTTGGGAGAATGATAATAGAGACGGTGAGAAAATTCCATCCTCCACATGTATAGATGAATGCAAGCCAGGGCAATGGAAAGTACCTACTACAGAATGTTGCTGGAAATGTTTACCATGTATCGATGGAAGTGTTTCAGAAACAAACGGAGCACTGAGTTGTACAACCTGTAGTAAAACACAAATGTCCAACTTTGAACAGACGCGATGCATACCCCTTCCTATAAATAACATTGACTGGTCAGACATAGTTTCAATCATACTCACTATAATAAGTATTCTRGGRTTTGYTATTGATGTGTGTGTRTTTGGTATYYTGTTCTATTTTCGTGACACTCCCATGGTAAAGGCTTTAAACAAAGTGTGTACTCTKGTTCTYCTCCWCGGAATAGCTTTGTGTTTTGGGATGACTTTWYTMTATATYGTAAGACCTTCATCTGRWTTGTGTTCKGTCCTGAAGCCGTTMCGMTATGTGGTTTACACSMTTTGTTGTTCGGCTYTGTTTYTRAAAACAATGCAAATTGTRCATKCRTTTAATATMTCTMARMTCAAAAMYTGGGTAAAGGCATTTATTTGCAGCACCCAACGACAAGTGATTGYACTTYTAGTAATGAYATGCATTGAAGTATTACTTGGCGYTTGGTGGATTCTCTGGGATCCACCATACGCTCACGTGASCATWTTYCMCAAAAGTCACRTGTTTATCACTTGTGTGCCATTCARARGTRCCCCTGGTAAGRTACTKGAYRGCCTTATGCTTKTGTATCTTCTRTTGTTGGCTGGRTGYTGCATTTATTATGCTTTTCGGGCAAGAAATCTTCCAGCTCATTTCAACGAAGCCAAACACATAAGCTTTTCTCTTTACATCTTCCTKTTATCCTGGATAACCTATTACCCTGTAGATTATACTGCAGAGGGTTGGTACGTTGCTGTCCTATCAGCAGCTACTCTCCTTCTCAGTTCCTATGGTCTTCTAGGTTGTATTTTTGGGCCAAAACTTTTCATAATTGTTTTGCAGCCCGAGAAAAACACCATGGAGTTCATAAGGGCTGAAATGCGTGGTAATAATTTCAGACAGTCAGTAAATAATCCAAGTTCTGTTAGACCAGTTGTAGAATCGACCTGCTGAACTATATATATTGCACGCCTGTCTGACGCGTGATTATGGAAAAATATTTAAACATTAAGCGATATGCTAGTATAGGGCTTCCAATGCTTATAAAAAGCGAACTGCTTAGAATCAGTAAAACGTCAAACTACAAGTTCACAATTATAAACGGAAACTCGAAGATTTCTTTATAATATATCCCTTTATAAGACTCGATAACTGTAATGGTAATTGATGATATTGATATGAAGTCACTAAATTATCAAAGGTGAAAATCAAGTCTCAATGCAAGACTAGGAATTAATCGTGTTAGTACTTAAAGTGCTTATAAGCCTTTGCACAATATTTTCAGAATTGATTCTTTAGATAGTGGATAGTTGATTG